TATATATGGACTGTACACGTTTTTTGCTACCCCAAAAAATGATGATAATGGTTATTAGGGTTAATTATGACTGTGTGTCGCGACGTTTTCGTTTTCATATGCGTAATATATTGAGTTGACAAGTGTGTTAAATGCAACTTATATGCAAACATAAGCATTATGATAAAAATGTTAATAACATCAATTAGTCATATTCGTTATTCAATAGAATGCGTGATGATTAAACGAACAAGTTTGGTGTAAATTTTAATGAAAAATGCAGCAATAAAAGGTCAACGTACGGTACGGTACGAAAGAACTAAATTTGTTTATTTATCACCAAATTATTTGGTTTTATTAATGCATTTTGCATTTTTGTTAAGTTGTCATTGGTGCTGCAGTTCTTTTATGTATTATAGCGTAGGTCAGTTGACGTACAAAAATTGCATTTCCATTTCATACTTCTATCGTAAAATTTTTGATGTGACTGCTGATAATTTATGAGGGACTGAGAGATTTCATGCATTAAGTAAATGCGCCGAAAAGTGGGTTTCGAATAAGGGCATTATAGACGACAACAGCAACGAGCATGATAAAGGCGACTGAAGCATGAAGATAGGGCTGGTGAGTAAAGGACTACTAAAGGGATGACGGTTGGATGGATATACGAAAGGGAATATGTAGTAGGATAGATAATGACGGTTGAAAGAGACAAATGGATATGGTCTGTCATAGAGAAGGTGAGGCTTACGGATAAGGTGAGGGATATGAAGTGGTGTGGTTAAAGCTTAGCTGGAAAGAGGAGTGTCGATGAAGATGGTTCAATAATTGGTTGCTTGCTGTCGGCTGTTGCTATAAGCCAAAAACAGCCTAGCATACAGACATAATTCGAGTCACTCCAACTGCTCGCTGGCCAGAAGGCACACAATCAGACTGGCATCGGCCCTATCGCTCCATCCATCCATCCAACCATCCATCCATCTATCCATCCATCCATCCATCCATCCATCCATCTATCCATCCATCCATCCCATTCCTAAATCCGGTGCTATCCACCAATACTGAAGCAAGACAACAAGCATATACTCGCCTGTTCACAATCACTATTCTTTCTCTGTCTCACCGTATCTCGCTCACAGCCAGTCGAGAATCGAGAGCGTCGTCTTCACCTCTCACCACTTCTGCTTCTTCACAAATATCTTCATTCCTTTTCCTCTCTTAGGATCAACTTATCTCCTTAAATCGATCAATATTTTCACTTCTCATTTAACCATTCACAATTTATAACAATTTCCCTACCTACTATCTATATTGATTTATTCATCTATCTAACCACCAGCAATAATATTTCTCTTCTATTCACCATAGAGCAAACGCAACGCTTCACAACTCTCTTGCATTCACAAATGCACCAATTTGAACTGAATAATCAACTCGAATCAAAGCGATCGACAAACTAAACCAACGTATGTGTGTGACCGTTATCCTTATTTCGGGTACTAGCCGATACTAACACATTGTTTTTATTTGATTATTATCACTATTTAAATTCATTCTTCAGCGTTTTCGTCTGTCAGCTGTTATCACATACGTGCACTATATCGTATTGGCAGTATCATATTTATTTTCAAAATAAGGATAGAAAGCATATTAATTCTAATAGTGTTATTACTAATCATCTATCGATCTTCTTCCTATATGGTCACGGCTATTTCTGCTACTGCTACCACTACATATTCTGTGTTCTTCAGCTAGTTGATCATCAACCACCCTTCTCCCTGAAACTTATTCAATTCAGTTTATTCAACTTGATTTATTTTTCAATTCATGCTGTTCACCTAATCAAGACTGCTTCTTTTATTATTGTATTCTTTGTCCCGATACTAATAATCAATTTCATCATCGTATAATAATTATACTGCAAAACTTACTGCTAGCTGAATCAGAACATTCGAACGACATTCATTTCTGCAACTAAGTTCTCAATCTAACGAACATCTATCTCCTTTTCTTTCTATTGTCACTACTAAAAAATATTTGGGAACTGCATTCTGGTGGACTGATTTGAATTTTTTCGCTTATTGTATTAGTGGAGGAAGTTGTCTGTCTTTGAGTGTGAGTGATATTTGATTGTTTTAGTGTTTCATAATCTGAATCTTACAAACATTCTTGATACAACTACTACTGCATTTAACGGACCGTATTGGTCATATGGTACGTTAAAAATGGTGGAACTGTGTGAACTGAAACTGATTGATCAAGGATTGGAGTGTCAATGGCCACCGGATATTGACCAGCATATTGCACAACTGGAATTCGAGCATTCCACCGATGACGAAGACAACAGTTTATTTTCGAGTATGGCACTTGATCCATCCATTATATCAACCGATAGCCTTGACGTCGAGAAACTACATGCCAGATGTGAGGTTAGTGCTCATGGGGATATCCATTTCTGAGCTTCGAGTAAGGAAATGAATGTCATTTGTAAATTCTGATGTGGATTATTTGGTGGTGGTTCTTTTTCAATACATTTCATTATATTAGTGAATTGTTGTCTACAGTCAAATGTTCAGCTTCACTGACGACCATTCAGTGTGCACAGAGAAGTGGATTAGGTTCAAATTATTGCAAATGAAATGCTTATAAAACACCGACCAACTTCTGTGTCCGTATATGAATTTTACACACATGAGTACCTTTCAGTTTCGTTGGTTACTCTGAACAAAAATAAATTGAGGGCGATTGTGTACACTTGATCGATCGCTTTAACTTTCGATTATTAATATTAGGCTTGCTCTTTCTCAAAATCGTTTAAAATCAGCGTAAAAATATCACAATTAAAAGCTAATTTTGTCAAAATTGATGCATACTGTTGTTTTATTAAATTAGAATCTGTTTTGTGCGAAGTTTTTATCGTTCCGTTCACAAGTTAGTGAACGAGACCGAGTTGTGCAAATGTAATAATGCACTTGTGCACAACATATAAAATTTGAGGTGAATAAGAATGACTACAAACTAACGTTCGAAGAGAGCGGTCAATGGGCAAGCGGCAATCTAACAACATGGGGACGTATTCGAAGCACCGAGCCGTTAGATGATAAAAGCAATAGCTTACCGGAGTTGAATAGTACGAAACGTATAACAACAACGAACACAACTCAGTCAACGAAACAGTATTCGAATCAACGGCAGCAACAGCAACAGCAGCAGCAGCAGCAATCATCACAACGTCCATCCAGTCTTCTAGCAACATTCGTCGAAAGACAACCAGATTATGAATATTCTGAATTGTATGTTGGCAACGGACGTTACGTGGACGTGAATGATAACGAAATTGGCTTTGTACCGCATAGTACAGCCGCGTTACAATCAGCTGATCGTTGGAGAGCTGCGAATCGTTTACCCGCTAATCCACCATCGAAACCACGACGAACGTTCGCCGATTTTCATCAGTCGAATCGAGCGCCACATCTCGATTTTATGGTCATGCAACATCAGGTTTATTTTATAAACATAGCTACGTAATACGTTCTGTATGCTAGTTCTCAAGCTATCCTCATTCAGATAGGTTTCAGCGATGAAGTTTGCAAGGGATAACTGGATGTTCATACTAAGTTCATGTGCATAACCCCTATAATTGTTTTGCTAACTTCTTATCGTATTACCAGACATAAATTCGGAGTGTTTAAACAATTCTCTCATGTATGCGATTTTGGAGCAAAAATAATTGAATTATTTGCATATTCTATGGTTGTTTTATTTCAAAGATTGAATGTCATATTGCAGATGCCAAGTCTGTGTCAATCGTCAATATCACTTGATGAGGTTATGCTAAAAGTAAGGGAAGGAACACTTGAGGACGATAAATTGGATTTATCACTTTTAAGTGTTCTTCAAAAAGGTGGTCCTGATTCAGGCTTAGGTAGTAGTGCAAGTGCAAGTTCTGGTCCAACACATATCGAAGATTGGCCTTCATTAGCAATTCTATTACCAAGGTTTCTTTTTTATCACCTTTCACTTCGTTACTGTTAGTGTTATTACTATTACTATTTTTATTGTTATTATTATTGTTTTACTATTATTATTATTGTTATTATTATTCTGAAGAGTATTGATTACGGATTTTTAGGCATGTGGTTGACGCTTGTTCGTTTTTCAAAGCGAACAGTCGTCTTTTAACTGGCTCAAATAACATTGAACGAGTGACGCCACGAAGGAATAACGAAACGGCATGCCGGACATGTTTTAATGTTCGGAAACGTTTACATCCACCGGTTTGGGCACAGCCAGCGAGTGCCAGACATGTGTTGTGTGATTGTGCTTCGAGTGAAGTTCGATTTGATCCCTTTGATAACGAACCAACAAAAGTACTCTCTAATAGAATCGAGTGCATTTAGATTCTCGAACGAACTTCAACTCAATGTTCAAGTCGTGAACGAAATTCCACGACAAATCGACTCAAACTTCATGCGCAAGAGTTGAGCATCGTTGGACTCCCAATATACGATACGAAACGAATGCTCGTTGAGAAAGTGATGCTTTGTTTGCGCATTCAGTTCTTTTTCCACTGCTCTCGAACAAGCAAAATCTCAAGTAGAACTTATGATAATGCCACCAAATCTCAACTGAATTATTTTCTGCTTACAGGTGGTCGAGGGTGTAGCTGAAATAGCGCGAGGGAATAGCGCATCGAATTTATGCACTGCAATGGAAACGCTTATTTCAGATGGTCTTAAAGAGCAGCATCCATGGCAAATGATCGTTACTGTCACTAAGCCAGGTATTTTGTTTGGTCCATTCAAAAACCCAGATGATTTGACTCTTATTGTTCTGATGATCACGTAGATTGGTTTATTTTAACCATCGATTTTTGTAGATGTTTATTACTTAACGATCGATTTTTTGAAACAACAGTTAACAATCTAAAAGGGAAATAAATCAGTGGTAAAGAAATCTTGCAATCAGCTTAACGTTACAGCATTGCATCAAGCGGAACGTGAAATTGTGCTGTACTTTGTTTCTGTTGGAATTGAGAATTTATGAAGCATGAAAAACATCTTCAAAAGCTGTCTTTCAAGCAGCCAGATGCACTCTTCTAATCTCACCTTTTTTTCGCTCGTTCAATCATTTCCTTATCTTGCAATCGTCTACGGTTTATTCCCACTTGCAGTTGGGAACTCTCTTCAAATTCCTTTGTAATACTGTAATCGAATTGCGTATGTTTTTGTTTTGCGCCATGCGGAAATGTAAGGTTTGCTTGATTTGATGTTCCTCAGCTCATCTTTTGTTCAATGAACAGGCTATGAGCCTAACCGTTCCTTTATAAACTTCGTGTGTGGTCATCCAAGGAACCTTGGGGCAATAAGCACTCCTATGATTAGTTCAGTGTATGCCATAGAAGCATGGAATCAGATGATTCATAAGAATAAGTACCTATTGTGAAGAATGCGTGTTTGTTGATTGCAATGCTCCGGAAAACATTCGGTTTTGTCAAAGTTACTCATATCTCATTACCAAATTCAGTTATCATAAAACCTTTCACATTCAAGCATAATTTTTTGAGTATTTTTAGGCCCAGCAACAAATAACGTTTTTTCATTGGTGCAAGAGTTGGACGTCAGCGAGAAGTCCTTGAATTCTCGTGTTTCAACCTTCTTCGATGAATTACTACGGTGAGTTACGTAGGGTCGATTGTATGATGTGTGTGTTTGCTTTCGATTTTCTTTTTTAATATGTGTAGTAGTTGACGTGCCTTTATCGAGTTCGTTAATGTAGAGGACACTTCTAAAGCAGCATTTTTGTTGAAAAGAACTAAAGAATTTCAGACTGGGTTCAGTGGACTGTTGGGTTTGTTATGTGGTGTTAAAAGAGAACGTTCTACGTACACTGTACGGTGATGGTGCATTCATGTTGCAAGCGAGTACGGCATATCGTAGTTTGTTATGGCGTTTGGTTGAGAACCTCGAGTTGTTGACCGTATTGGAAAAGCGTGCGGAAAATCAGTCGTCATCATTATCAAACTACCGAGAAACAACACATGTGGAAGCATCTCGTATCGCAAGTGATTCAAGAGTGCCAAAAAGTTCATCAGTACCAGCTAGACTGTGTACGTCGCCAACAACAACTACGGCCCCAACATGCAAACCCGTAGATACTGCTGCATCTGAGTCAGCGTGCTGCAACACCATCTCATCAAACGCACGTTCTTTACGTCGATCTCGCATTCCAAAACTCTCATCAAGACCGCAACGTTCCACTTCAATCGGTGCCACCACAAATCGATCCTTGTCACCATCGTCAACAAATCGATATTTACCCACGAGAAGCTTTGCCTCAGCTATTGATGATCTCGATTTACCAGGCTTTTTACCCGTATCGCGCGGTGAACGTTTACGTTTGATGACTATATCTCGTGGTCCTTTGGTACGTTGTTGTCGTGTAAGACCACGTTACGATCGTATCTTCCAGGGGCTTATGCCCAAAACAAATTTGACAATCCATTGATCTTATAGTCTTGCATTCTGTCGTTCTAATAATATCATCACTATTAAATTTATGGAACCGAACACATTTTAGACAACTTTCCCACTTCAGTATGCTGCAGTTTATTTTCATTACACCAACTCAAAGCCATGTTTATTTTTATCATCGTTTACTGAAATTCGTTCCATTGAATAAATGCTGAATTTATGATATTTTATGTAGGGTGCTAAATCATTTTATGAAGTGTCAATCAATTTTATGTATATATGCATCTGAGTCAATCGAAACCGTTTGACTATATAAATAAAGTATCACAGGTGTGTATAAGTGAACTTGCTGTAATTTGTTGAGAATTTGAAACTGTAATAATGAGTTGGATGTAAGCTTGATTTATCATTTGATGTGTATGTCAGCTTTCATTTTTTATGAGTTCTCATTCAGTAAAGTTCTTTTAAACCAAAATATTTTACTTGAAATGTGCATATTAATGCTTAATATTAGTCATATAACCATGTTATTAACAACAATAATAACACCAATAAAACTTTTCACATCTTACGATTCTGTTTTTATTTTACGAACAACTCACAGTCGTTGAGTTCGAATGTGTGAGTGTTCATGATTCAACTGAAGTAACTTCTCGTTGATTTCATGTCCTATTTGCATGCGTTTTCTTTTGTTTCGCACACTCTGTGTAAGCAATGATGGAGTTATAAACCTCGGGAAATTACTGGTTTCGTCATGGTTGGTCGAGGACTTGCTGGTCGAATTCTCACTAAAAACTGAGTATATCACCTTATTGATTTCTTGATTCAATTGCACGAATGCAAAAGTACGTCCATGCTGTTTGAATTCATTCGTTTGCGTATTCTTTCCATGCTTCGATACCATTTATATTTTAAGTTTACCTGAAATGTTCGCTTTTGGCTGTATTCAACACAATTTTGATTGCTATAATGCTAAGGGCGTCCGGAATAGCGGGGGGGAGAGGGAAAGACAGGCACTGAAAAAGGAGGATAGGACCTGAGGAAAGAGGTGAATGCCCAGTGATGTTGGGTAATAGAAGATTGCCCCGAAAAGAGCACGAGTGCTCTGGGATCCGCAAATACGTTCTGAAGTAGGTGTCCACAGCCTTTTTAAGATAAAGACCGTATTGAAGTCGGGGTTCTTGGAATCCCGACCTTCAAATCTGGATTCCTAAAATTTCTGTTCTGATGATTCTCGGTATTCCGGTGTCTGATAATACAAGTTATTTGTTATAATTTTTGTGATATGATTATCTGCAATCACTCGTCACACATTCTTGGTCGATTCATATTAAGTAATATTTATTATTTACTATCCAAGTGGGAATTAATGAAAACATAAGGGTGCCACCCTTCCTTTTGTTTTTCAGGAATCAGTAATGTCGATCACTCTTGCTTCGTCTTTCTGTTGCTTTGCCTTCTGTTTATGATCGTTTTTCAATCCTGAGATTATTCCAGGATTGAGAAATGGTCAGGATTTTGAGGACACTGGTTGGATTGGAGATTAGTTTTCACTCTGGATTCCCCATATCCGGAAGAATCGGTGACCCAGCAGTAAGACTTTTTGTTTCCATCCCCACCACTGCGGTAGCCCTCCGAGGTGACAAGTCTCCATGCCAACCTTCCAATGAATCATATTTCTGAACAGGCAACGTGCAAGCCTCATAATGGTGTAGTACTACACCGTTATGGTATTTCAGCACCTCGCAAGAGTAATCGCAAGCCGCAGAGTGAACCTAAACCCAAACTCGAGCCCAATTTGAACTGACATGGCTGTAATATACTCCAGCTTAGTGTTCGTCAGGGAGCAACTTTTCGGCCGGGAGAGGATCCCGTTGGGGAGCAAAGTGGACGGGGGGTCCCCGAGCAAAAAGTCGAGGATCAAAATTGCTGGGGACGGGGACTCCGACCCCGACGGACACTAACTAGTTCGAAGCCTTTTGGGCACTTTTTTACTTTGGGAGGGTCGCACGCAAGTACGTTCGCGCATGCCACGCCTACTGCGCATGGCTTCAGCCCAAGCGTAGTCTCAGCCTAAGCCTAAGCCTGAGCTCGCTTGCTAGCCTCTGTTGTAGCATCGAGCGATCTGAGGCTACGTTTAGATGAGACTGAGGTCACACTTAGGCTGAGTCCATGCGCAGTAGGCGTGGCATGCGCGAGTGTGCTTGCGTGCGACCACCCTAAAGTAAAAAAGTGCCGCCTTTTGAACACAATGAATGAGTTAGCAATCAGACGCGATTTCGGGATCGTCGCGAACATATGCTATCGAATATTGCGAACGTAACGAACAGAGGTGGCGAATGTTGGCAAAAGCTTGCGTTTGACATTGTAGTTTATTTAAGCTTGTTTTTTTTTTAAATTTTAATTGTAGTTCAAGTAATAATAGGTTTTATTGGGTTGTTGTTGCCGAAGTCGTCAAACTTTTGCTGAGTCAGTGAATGTTTCATTGTTTTTTGTTGTTGTAGTGGACGGAAGGAGTTTATTTCGTATTTAATTCATTCGAAATGGATGACCAACAAGAGCCGATATTGAACGGGCGAGCAATATGTGAGTTTAAAGTGGTGGAATTGAAAGAGGAATTAGGCAAACGTGGGCTATCAAAAATTGGTACCAAAATTGTTCTATATGAACGTTTGAAAGAGGTGCGTAAATTCTTTATTTTATTTTTTGTTCCATAATGAGCTTTGGTTATCATTCATTTATTAGATCCACTTTCGCGACATGTAGTTTCTCGTCGTACTTGTTACCATCACTTTTTCTTCATGAATTGATCATTGAGCAATGATTGTAAAAGCTTCAGTTGGTAAATGAATAATTAATAAAATGATTTTAATATCGACAGACTATTCCATTTCAAAAATTATTTCATTTGATAAATAATTTTCTGTTCAATTCATTTGCAGCATTTAATCAGCACTATTGCTGCATCAAAGCAAGCCGAACAAGAGTCAGCAGCTGCGGTCAAATCAACTTCGGATGAAAGTGTTAGTTGGCTGAGATGATTCCAGATTCTTATCCGATCATCCATCTCAATTTAATTTGCACCATTGCCAGACAGTATCTGTTAGTCGTTCATATTTGAACTGCATCGTCTATGTCGAGTGATCCAGAGCTAGAGCAGTAGTTGACTTACAAAAATTTGGTTGAATGTTCTCACATAATTTTAGGGATCGTCAACAGCGAATCCGTTTGTTGCTGAATATTTGGCCAAACAGCAGGTGGCTCTTATGGCTGCTAGGAAAGATGCTGGTCTGTTATTGTTTACAGCTTGTTTCTTTTGCATTGCTTAAGAGTTTGTATTTTCTTTCGTTGTTCTTTTGAAGTTTTTTGCAATTGTAGCAATCTTGCATCATTTTTATGAATAATTTCCAATAGTCTACGATCCTTAAGAAACTGTCAGCATTGTAGAAGAGGCTCGTCGAGCTGTATCAGCGCCAGACGATCAAACGAATTCACCGCAACATAAGGCCGTTACTGTGTCGAAGCGAAGTGATTCCGAAAAGCAGTCTGGAACACCGGATAAAAAAATAACGCGACGATCACCACGCTTGGGGAGTCCTCAGGTAACGAACGATGTCTCGTTGTGTTTGTGATAATCTCGTGTGCTTCTTCATGGATACATTTTACTTTTGTATATTGAGAAAAAAGGCTATCCTACATATGTTTACTTTATTTCACCATTTGGTAACTGTTTCATTGCGACATTGAATGCGATGAGTGTGATATTATTTCGTTATGCTAAATTTCTAGAAAGATCGTGATAAGACAGTGTCGGTTGAAGAACAAAATGGAAAAGAGTTTCGTGAGGTCGGTGAAAGAACTGCTGATGAAAACATTACAAACGAAACATCGAAACGTGCAACTGCAAAGAAGGAGTCTCTAAAGGATGAAGACATCAGTGAGGGTGCTGAACAGGTGAATGAAAAAAATAGCAATGCAGATATTAGAAATGACGATGACGCAAAAGATGAATTATCAGCAGATGCAGATGTTAAAGTGGAAATTTCGAAAGAAGATACCACAAAAAGTGAAAAAAGAAATGGCAACAGGTGATAAATTTTGTTTTATTTTTTCAAATCGTATTTTGCTTTGGCTCAGCATACTTCAATGGAATTAGCTCAGCACCAATTGTTATCTCTTGTCTTAACTAGTTTTTTTCCTGTAAAAGGCAGCGTTGGGTTTATAAGGTTAGGTTTAAGCGATTGATAAATATATAAATGGGGAGTGATTCTCATAAGTGTTTTACTCATTGTTTATGAAAAACAAAACATCCAATATCCGTAAAATTTTAGAAGAAAATCGAATAGTACAATAAATCTAGCTGTTATATTATATATAATGATCCATTTCTCTTATTCATGGTGTTGTGACCAAGTGAAAAAAAACTTAAATATATAATGCGCCAGAAGAAAGCATTAATAGATTCATGTTCAGGGATATTAAAAACTCAGAAGAAGCTGACGAAGGAGAACGGTCTTCAAAGAATTTGTATCCTGACAACACTAAGGCGTCTGTCTCGCCTTCCAAACATTCACCACATGTTCGTCTAATTCAGACTTGAAACACCATAAATATTTGAAGAAAACTTGATGCATCATTATGTTGTCAGCTTGACGATCAGTTATTTTCTAGTGTTCGAATTTTTATTCACCAAAATAATCATTGATGTAATTTCAGGCTGATGAAGATGTTGATTTACCCAAGGACCATAATGAAAAAGTAAGTGTCAGTTCGACGATTTTTTTGGATAGTACATGTGAAGATATCGACGATAAAAAAGTGAATGTCATCTCCGAGGATGTGGTGGATAGTTCGTGCGATGCTAGCAAAGAAACGCATTCAATCAGTTCAGATACGGCAACACCACCAACAACAGGTTTGTTATTAATATCTGGATGTTTGAATAATGATTTAGTTTTTTTTTATCGATTTGATTATAAATCTGCAATTTTCATTTATAAGCGTGTATACTTGAAAGATTATATGATGGTAACCCACTTGAGAATAATCATTTTTCAAACTTTTCTTATGAGCATCACTTGATTGAGACTGTTTGCATAGAGAAAAATGTAGAAGCTTTTAGAAAGGTTTTTTTGCAGAGCCTAAAATTGGTGTTAAAGAAACGGAGGCGACGATGGAGCATTCAAAGTAGGTCTTCTTAAATTTGTTAAAATTTCAGTTATACATTTCAAGCATTCCTAAAAATTGCTTTTCAACTCTATTTAGGTCAGAGAACCTCTCTGAAGAAGGTATCATTGTGTCAGAGGAAACAACTCAGGAAGACGATGTTGATTCGTTATCTCTCAACATGATTGATCAGCAACAACAGCATTCCGACTCGGTCAGTGTTGAAGTTATGAAGTTGTCACAATTCAATAATGCTCATTGCTCTTAGATGTAGTCAGAATTTGATCAGTTGCAGATGAGAAAACAAGATGAGGAATGTAGAAAGGACGCAGTCAAGAAGCGTGCTGAAGGAGCTAGTGAACGTCGTTGGAAAGGATCAAATGAAGAATTATTGGAAAATAATAAAGAGAGAGTTGTGACAGTTGATGTACGTACGAGCAGCAAAAATAAGTCTTCGGACGAACGTCATTTTCAGTTAAGTGATATGCAACCGCACGAAACAACTTCGATCCATTCCGATACTTCAGTATCGCTTTCGGACACAAGACGACGCATCTCTGTCGCAGATTCAGAAGAGTCAGATAATAATAATAATAACGAAGATGATGATATGAAAGAAAAAACCGAAGAGTTGGATTATGAGGAAGTACCGCAACAAGCTTCAATGAGTTCATCATTGGAAAAGGTGATATATTCATTGTTCAATTGTTTATTTCCTTTAGAACTATTGATCATTTTCACGTTCATCACATCGTTTCGTTGATTTAACAGCAAATAGCACGCATCATTGTTGCATAATCACAGCGATTTTTATTTTACAGAAAGATGAAATTTTGTGCAGTAAAGTAGAAGTGGCAGAAACGTCGACGAGGAGAATATCTTCATCCAGTTAGTTGTTCTCTTTCTTTGGGAAGGGAAGGAATACCATTTGAAAAGTAGCAGGCACTGATTAATTGTGTTTGAATCATTCTTCGTTTTTGTTTTGGGGTTTGACTCACTGTCACTTATCATTCATTTCCTGAAAAAGATTACTTCAAGCGATATCAGTCATCTCCGAATTATGTCCGTTCAGATGAAGTAATTCATGGATCAGATGATGAAAAGAATGTAACGATTGATGGTTTCGTACGTCAGCGAAGTGTTTCACCGGCAAGATATCCTGTTAATCAGGTTTGATTTTTTTCATTTACCATCTGATTTTGATTTAATTCTGTCACTTTAATACGTTTTATCATAGTTCTCGATCACTGCACTGTGAATAGGTGAACGCATGTAATTCGTAAGATTTTTGATTGTAAACGAGAGATTGTGTCTGTTCTTCATGTAGCTGTTGTGTTTGTATTACTTTTTTGTTGTAGAAATGAGTATTACTTTTGGATGTTGTAAAAACTAGGCAAATAGAATTAGATGAAAACTCTGAAGAGATTGGGGAAATACGAGAAGAGAGTGCAGTGCATTTATTCTGGAGCGTATTGGATTGCTTAGTGTTCGTGCCGAGATGAAGTGTTGAATGTGATACCTTCAGGTACTGATGATAAGACAGTTAACACGACCATTTACCTCCAAGCAGTTGCAACAAATGCTTGCCACTTATGGAACGATCGTCGAGAATGGTTTTTGGATTGATAATATCAAATCAACATGCATTGTTAAGGTAACCAGACAACAATAAATTTCATTCTTGTTATCAGTTAATCGTTTCAAAAGTAACATTCCGAATGAAACTTTTAAAAATTTTCAAACAGTTGAAGCCAAGCTCATCATTATTTTTAGAATCACGTTCTGAACTAATCAGTAATACATGCTTATAGTATTCAACGATAGAAGAAGCGATCGTGGCTCGAGGTCGTTTGCACAACGTCGTATGGCCAATTCACAGTCCAAAGGCACTCAAAGTTGATTATTCAGATGATGAAGGGGTATGTTGATTATGCTGTGCTGTTTATGTTAACTTTGAAGCCGTCTTCAGTTGAATTGGTTTCTGTTGAAAGTTGTGCAAAAAATTGGTATTTGGACAAATTGTTTCACTGAGCAACAATTTGATATGTTTTCGATAATGAATTGATATTGTTTAGTTAGCGAAACACATTGCATCAGATGCAACAAATGCATCTACTGCGTCAGCAGTTACACCAAAAGCCAAGCGTTCGTTTGGTGGTGTTCCTTCATCTGAGAATGTTATGGCGACCAGCACTTTACGTATCTCGGTGTCAGTCAATGATGAACAACGATCTGTGCAGCCTTCAGCAACGCGTTCTTCTCGTACGGGTCATCACAAGCACAATGATAATGCCTCAAAAACGAACGAGAATGCGAGTGATCGTAAGAAGCCACATTCCAAATCGCCACCTGGTCGTAGTGATGTCAGTTTGTTTGTCGATTTATGAAACTTTTGGCTTGGTCGAAGAAGAACTTGAAAATGTTTTGTTGGGCATTTTAGTTATCTTCAGAAGTAGTTTATCTCATTTACGCGTGTGATTTTGTATACGCTCAAGAATATTACACTCACAAGAATTAATAAAGATGAACTGTCGTTCGTTAGCGACGTAAAACATTTTTGCATTATAGGCGCCTAGCGAGAAGCGAAGTCGTCAAGAGCGTCGTGATCTACACAGTGGTGAACGTAAACATCGCAGTTCACCAGAGGCGAAACAGCCTATCCAAGGTATTTTATTCATTATTTATTCGTTTGTCGTTGTGATTGTGCTTGTTTAGCTACTCTAAATATGAACAGATTTTTCATTTTGTCTCGATTCTTTCAAAGCATGCACTTCATTTTAATTTGTCACCGCTTTTTGCAGATGCTGAAAAAAGTGTGAAAACGGCAGATGAACTCTTCAAAAAGACAGTCACACAGCCATCAATTTATTACGTAGCGTTGACAGATGAGCAGGTTTTTTTCGTTTGCTTCAATTGTTTCGTTTTCATACGGTTGCGTTTGAGAATGTTTGATTAGCGGTGTTTGATCGTTGAATCTTTTGTTGTATCTTTTATAGGTAATTAGAGAGTAGATGGAGCCTGAATTTTATTCGCTGAAAGGTTTTTATGAATATAGTTCTAAATATATTGCTTTGAGTGCATTTGAAGGAAGTAAAATGAGATGTGATGACACACGACAATAATGATTTGTAGTTGTTGAATAGAGCACAAAGATTGGCTTGATGTTTAAGATAATAGAACGTACAAAACGGAAACAGGGAGTGGAAACATGCGAGATGTTGTCTGAAAAGAAGAGTGCCGATGGAGCTGTGTCAAAAATGTCATCGAGTTCGAAAAAGGAAGATGTTGGTGACAAGGGCAAAAAGAGATTGAAGACGAACCTCTCTTCGGAAAAACATCATCACGCCGCAGCGGTCATCACCATCAACTCACAATCCGAAATGTCTGCGTCATCTCGTCATCATACGTCCAATCGTCATCGTGACCGATCTCCGTCCTCAACACAACGTCATCATCATTGAACTCAAACATCCGCCTCTTCTGATCTGAACACACTTATTGAGGCAATCAGTTCAGTCGTTCATTCCCTTTCTTCTCTACTCTACTTCCCACATCCTTCGCGTTTCTGTTGCTAATTACTTCATTAATCAGATCCTTATGTTTGAGTATTATTTGAGTATTATTTTTGTTTTTTGAGGCAACCTGAGGTTATATCCGACCGGATCGATCCATCTTTTCATTCATTTTGATCCCTTTCAGTCAACAGTCTTGTTCATGTCCTACATTCACCAAGCAACCGTTTTTTCATTCAATCATTTCGCCATTAGCAGCCGTTCTCCTCATTCATTCTTGTTGTTTTTCGCCTTCATTAATGATCTTTTTGTTATCTGTTTCCTCGTTGTTGTTGTTTTTATCATTCGCTCGCCTCATCACATCAATGTTATTTCTTTCATGTTTCTGATCTTAATTTATTGAATGCTAAGAACATAATGATAACAATAATAAGAATAGTATCAATGAGAATTTCAGCAACTATGTAACAAAAAATGCACTATATACATACCTTAATCATGAAGCATGAATCGCTCTCTAATCAAAAAAAAAAACTGAGTGATTCGATGTATTTATCAAGCATTCTCGTTCACGAATAAACCACACAAAGTTTGCTAATAAGCTTTCCAAGAACTGATTAACTGTTAGTTAAATGCGCATCTTTCTCAGATTGAAGTGCTAATCTGTTCAAGCAACTGAAGCGATTCATGTTTGTTGTTGTTACACTAGGATGAATAATTGTTGCTTCAAAAAGGTGGTGTTGTTTTGAACTAGTTGTGATCTTAAAGCGAACATTAGGTCATTCGAAAGCAGCAGTCCTTCGATTTGTTCAATACTCAACTAGAACTTTGAATTCTTGCTTATGATGTCATTTATAAGAAGTTAATGGCGACGTTCTCTACACTTCAGTTTAGGTAAGAGTGAATTTTTATGAATTTTAAATAAGAGTCGAAATGAAATTGGCTGCTTCACTTTTTTAGATCATCGTTCCTTCTTTGTTCTAAAATTTTTTAATCACACTGATTGAACTTTCGACTGTAAGAGATAAAACGATTACTAATCGAAAAATCAAGGAGATAGAAAGAAAAAAGATTACTTTATTCACTTCGTGTTTTTGAATTTGCTTATTTTTCGGCATGCAATCATCATCATCCTATGTGAAGACTGTGAAAGAAAGATGCACTTACTAAATGCAGTGAATGACGAAGAAGGGAGATGATAATTCGATGCGAGACGTTGTCGAGGCACGGAACTGACTCGATACGGCTAGTGTCGCACAGAAACGCTATTCTCATTTGACACTGCTAGCGCGACGTGCTGATTGCATTCGACCATTCGACTCAACGCCATCATATTTATCCACTGCAATAATGATCGATCGAATTCGGAAATCAGCCAACTTCGATCTTTTGGATCGTATACATTCTGCTGCATTAACTTCAGTATATATATATATTCTACAGTGAACAGTCCATTTGTGCTTGCAAATACTATCATATAATGTGGATATATGTTATGGATAAGACGTTTGTAATTATCAATGCTGGAAGATATGACAGTGATGATATATAATTTGAAACGGTGCGGTATGACGTGCGGCTGTAGAGTTCGATGCAGTGCAGTAATTCATGTGTTCATCAGCAACAGAAACTCTACCAATCCCAATCGTTAATCAGTTTGTTGTTGGATTGTTCAAGAATGTGAATAATCTCAAAATGTGTATAAATATCAATTGTGTGGATGTAATGTTTTATAGAAGTGCTTTATCTGAGGTGTTGAATAATAATTTTTTATTTGATTGTTTCCATCTTATTTTAAAGATGCATCAAATCTACTTGATGAAAACTTATATCCATAGAAAGCAAGATTGAAGCCGACAATTCTAATGGCTCAGAGAATTAGTGGATTGTTTTGATTTAACATTTCATTCAATTGTGCGGTTCTGAAATGTGTTGTAAAGGGAAAGCAAAGTTTATTTTCCTCTTACGCTAAACTGTCTTGAATGTGAACTGTCGTTGGCAATTTAATGTCAGCGTATCACCTTCCTCAACCGCGGTGTTCAATGCGAAACTTTTTTTAGAGATATCAACGTTTATTCAGTGGTTTCGTAAGCACGAAGGAGATTCACGACGGCAACCGCACTCATATGTTCAATTAGACTAAAAAGGGGGGTGACGTTTGAGTGCGTTTGTCTGGAAAAGGAAATTCGAATGCCTTCAAGTTACAACAGACGTCAACTTAACGTCAATGTTTCTTTTGAAAACATTTCTTCAACGAGTAGTCTGCAGCTTATAGCCTCTCAGCCCTATCACTAAATTTTAAGTAACCGAATTGTTTTCGGATAATAGATACAAGCCGGATCATAGCCTGGCTCAGGCTCACAACATTAATGCTATTGGTACACCACTCGGTTTCAAGCAAAACTTTCCTCNGAGGAAAGTTTTGCTTGAAACCGAGTGGTGTACCAATAGCACGAATTGTTTTCGTTATTTACTTCAGTTTTTGTGCTTCTTTGTTAGCCGTTGGTCAAGTTATTGTCATGATTAACATTTCACTTTCTGTTCTCGGTAGCTGGTCTATGCTCATTGAGTACTTCTACCCCCTGTAGCAAGAAGCATATGGGCTTCCTCTCATATTGATATCAATGCAGAAAGTTCGCACTTTACAGCTAGAGTTGTGCGTGGTGAACGTGAACTTATCAATTTGTTCACATTTGGCGCAACTGCTTGTCCGCCTTTCAAAGTTTTTTTTTGGGGTTATATTTTGCGCCCAAATAATTACGTGCATCTCCCATCGAAATTATTTATGAACTCACGATAAACTTTCTTCGCATGACTTCTCTCTTATTAGTTGACGATTCGCACTGACTGTCTAAAAATTGCCTGTCAACAAGCTGAGAGAAGCTCCCAAATAATTCATGAAAAAAATTTGGCTTACCGGAATCACCGATTCTGTTGTGCGTACCATGGAAATATTTGTGCTTACGAAGTGTACGTAATATGAGAAAGGTTAAGTAGTTGTTAAGTACCATTAGAAAGTTTATGTTTGTTTTGTTTCAGTTTATTTATGTTTAGGTTTAAGCGATTCTGGTTTATAGCGGGTTGGATTGCTCACTTAAACTGAAGCTTAATCGCATTTGAATATTTCACTATGCTTGCATTAACCACAACAGAACGTGAAAATATGTTTAAACAAGCACAAAATGTTATACAAAAACGATATGGATGTTCACTCATAAAGTATATCACGCATTCAATATGCAAATTTACAGCAGCATTAAATCCAGTCGTTTATAACACATAAAAATACACTGAAAATATCCCTCAAAACAACTGCTACTCGCATTAGAAATCCTGATACAAGATTTACGTTCCACCAATAACATGCTTCAAATTGAATGCGTTGTACTTAAGCAGCTAAAAAATCAATAACTGAATGTTTCAAGGTAATATAATCGTATCATGAAAGTATGTAAACAAAGAACAATATCACAAAATCGGAATATTCGTAAGCACAAAACGAATCAATCAAGTGCTCTATCTAGCTATCGATCGTTATCAGTGATCGGTACTGTCATACTTAATCAGTAAGAATCAATCACTGATCGGCTGCTATGACAATACTCTCCCGGTTTCCTTTTGTCATGTTTTTCAGTGGGCGTTCTCGGCACTTTTGGTCGTGAGCCGAAAGCGATCACGTACTGATCAGTGCTGAAATGAAGGGAAAATCCAATGAAGCGAAGAGAATCTGATTTCCTTTTTCGATCAAACAAATTTCTCTCTACAATACAATTTTTTTCTGAAAGAACATTCGCATGAAATCAGATGGGGCAAACACCCTTAAGAATGAAACTGCAAACCAACTCTGTATTGTATGGAATACAATCCGAAATTTTCTTCTTAAACGACGGTATCAGTAGCCCGTCGTCGTCATTCACTGATGTGTGTGACTAAAATTGCACGTTTCAAAGTTTATCAATGAGTCACACATTCATTAATCGTCCTTATTAATCAGGTGAAACAACAGGAGAAGTGATAAAAGTGATAAGTGATATCAACAGAAAATAGGAATTTAGCAAACATCCTCGTTGGTTATTGTACCTTTGAGGTTGTACGACTATTAGCATCTGTTTTGCGTGGTAAAGATGAATCTTCTGTTGTGAACTGCTTTAACAATCGCGGCTCGGAGATTCCTCGACTCAGAATTGCCACTGCTCTATTTGCTGGCGTGGCAGTCGTCCGACAACCACTAAAGAGTGCTTCAAAATTTTGTTCATTTTTCGTGACAAACAATACCTCTTTTCGAAAGATTTCACCAAATTTCCGACAATATTGAATCTTTAAAATAAGTTTCAATAACATCCCTTAAAGCATTCTAGAGACTATATAATACGGATAGCACTGGTAATAATAATTGTGATAATGCAGATAGTAACGATTATTATTATTATTATTACAACTGATATCGAGCCGTCCACGGATTCGAATAGGAAAATCGAATATAACGATTCAACAAAAATTTGGCCGAAAGCGGTTCCAAAATTTATCAGTATTCAAGATATAACTTCGGTCATCAGTGGCTAAATTTTCGTGTTTCTGCAGCTGTTTGCAACCGATAATAAGCCAACTTTCTGAGGTGATTTAGCTGACACAGAGCACAACAGGAATGATTTATGATCGACGATTATAACAACTCATGCATTCACCTATTCACATTCATCCTTGTGTGAGGTCTCATACGATTTTCTTCCATTCACGATGATGGAAGCATTAAACCAAACAACGGGGTACGTATGGCATGATATTATCATAACAGAATGAACGAACGGATAGCATTCCAATGATGAAAATAAACCCACTTGTCTTTACCATAAACTTTGTTCTTGGCTAGTGGTACTTGACTGGAAGAGGGTTGTTGAAATTCAGTTACTAAAAATTAATTTAGCTAAACAAATGGATGAGCAAATAATCGTTTGAATAGTTATTCAGTGAATCACGCAATCTGCATTCGGAACGATAAGACGAAAATGAGCAATATACCAATTGAGAACTATCAACTGACAGCAACACATTGACAAATGAACAAACCCAACTGAAACGCATTACGAGCGACCAAAGGTTTGCGACGATCATTTTCGAGGATGAACGTTTGTTGAGATGAAATAGAAGTGGGTCGATCCGGTAGAACACCGCTAAGTAAAGAATCGGCCGATAAGGATGTCAGTCGATTTGTTAGCGTTAGCGATTGCTCTCCGTTTTGAGTGGCTGCAGTACTTTTCATTGTTTTGCTCGTTGGAACTCGTTTTCGAACTATGTGCTCTTGAGGAGCACATCTAGGAACGGTACCGGGTGGAGCCGCTATTTCATCACGACCCAGTGCACTGATTGCCACCGACTTACTGTTTGTATTCCAAACTCGAAATTTTGTCTCTAACAAGCGCACACCAAACAGCTCATTCACAGCGATTCGTAGGCTATCAGTACTTTCGATTTCAGCTTCCAAATAATCATCTTTCTAAATGAGCTACATAGAATGAATTTTCATATGAACTTTATCTAATCCAAACACTCATGTTACGCAGGTTCATTTCGAATTAACGAAAAAGATGAACGAAGAGAGAAACCGGCATATCACATTCATTTTTAGTGGAATTTATGAGATTTTTTTGAAAAATAACACTGATTAGAACCCTTCGTTAGAATTATTTGTTCATAAAAATGAGAGTTATAGGACATTATGTATAATTACACAGTGAAAAGCACGATTTGATAACATAAGGACGGGTAAAACAAATGCATCTCACTCACAGGCTCATTATCCTCATCAGAAATTGCCGCACGTCGCTTCAAAACGCCTTCGTTATCTGTAAAATTCATTTTTACAACCACATGACCACTACGTGCAATCACAAAAGAAAAAAAAAGTGAAATCAACTTCAAACATTTTCACTTCGTTTGAATTTGTAACCTATCTTCCACTATCTGTCTCAAAAACCGGAGAGTCATTGATAGAAGTGAATTGCACCTTAGTAAGTGATTAACTAGAAGAATAAAATGGTCACGGAGATAAAAGTGGTAATGATTGTAGTAATAATAATAAGTGAAAATATTGCATGAATTTATCTATTACAACTTATCAATATGTATCAACATCAGTAAAAATTCAACGCAACAGTTACCTGCCCATGGTGCGTTATTCGACCTGTTTTTTTTTGAATCAGTGAATAAACGATTATTCATTACAGTAGTCGGTGAGGGAGGTATATATTGTTCTTGGGACAGTAACAGTAGACTGAAGTTTGATTTTGAAGCGATAATATGAGCATGAAGTGATGAAATGGAAGAGATTGATGAGTTGAGTGATAACATTGGACTTTTAAGAGGGACTTAATTGGAACCTGGCCCCTGAGGTGCTCATACTGTGACTCTGTGTACTGTCACAGCAGAGGTCTCAGGGAAAAGGTCACAATATTTTGCATCAGTAATATATCACGATGAATGAACGCATACAAAATATCATCTCAACAGTGAACGCTGCAAGAAGTTGCATCCATACTCAATGATCGCCAACACTATAGCAGATGAAACGAATGCAAATGAAAATTCCTTGTCGTCAGCAATGGACATTCTCAGCCAGTTCACAATCAAATGCTCAGTGAATTTTCAGGTTGTGCGACAGATCTTTCACAGTTTACAGAAATCGCCACCTATACTCATTAATCACTCAGAAAAATTGGTGTATTCAGTGTTAATGTAACTGAACTGAACATTTTAAAAGCTGTCAATTCAATATTAATCAGCATGAAAATATATTGGTTCTCAATACAGAAAACTATAACTGATTCTCAATTCATTTGTTAACCGAAAAAAGCTAACAGAATAGACGTGAATGGATACAATATGATATAAATTCTGATCTCACAGAATAGTATATCTCACGCAGCGTAATTGCAATAAGAAACAATGAAGACAACTAGTCTGGATTACTGTAACTTGCACTATTTCGCATTTTACAGTTTCCTTGTGAAAGCATCGGCATTGTAAAGAGAGAATAGCGATCAGACAGCTAGACACATCGCGCAATATAGTAGACAGTTCGCTTAAGAACGTCCATTTAAGCATAAGCTGAGCCGTTTGTCGCTTCAAATTTGAATCATTCCTTCTCTCTCTGCCCTCCAATTAACAAAGCAAGTAATTTGCTGCATCGGGTCGATTATGCTTGGCGTTACCGATCTGCACGCATTGTTCAGAAATCACTTCTTGATGACACCGATCATTTAATGTACGCTTAAAAGCCATTTTTTGGAAAGCCTATTTATTTTAGTATTAGCATTATTCACAGCTTATGACACGAAGTGGCACAATCAGAAAAAGATTGACCTATAGAAGCCTAACGTGTCTCCATAGGTTTCCGCAACATCCATAGCGTAATTGAACCTGAGAAAAGTAAAACTTCCACTACCCAATCTAATCATTATGATTTAACCATCTAAACGGTACGAGAGGAAATAAACAAATCAGGTAACATTCAAAAATAATATGAGAATATGAATGACAAGAAAAAACGAATGCAAATCATGCATCGAGCTAACAAAATACATTTTCACTACTTATACCATTCAGTCAGAACGAAAGAGTCAGTGCCATAGTGCAGATCATTTGCATCAGTCCAACACGAGTCACTGATCTGAATATTCGAGATATCAGTTATTTAATTGCCGCATAAAACTGATCGGTCGAACACGGACTTATGTCCATCGAAGGAAGTAGTTAGGGAACTGATCAATGCAATGACAAAATACGCATATCTTTCATGGATGCAACAAAGCGTTTCAAATAGAAGGATAACTGTGAAAAGGCTCGCATTTACCATTTGCAGAAAACACAACGTGGAGGATAATCATTAAGAAACATTGAGCCGAAAGGTCTTATTTTGCAATCGTTCGGACCGAAACAAAAACACAACTCATCAACCAGTTATTGTCTTTCCTCTATAAGATTATGTGAATAATGCCATAGTCACTCGACTACTAACCGAAAAAATCGTCCTGAACCAGGACAGATGTTAGTTAACAAAATGACGGCTGGAATGAAGGACAGAGGGAAATCAAACAATGACAATGAAGAAATAAGGGGAAAAAAGCAAAAGCAACATGCAGGCAATGGATGAAGCAAGCGTAAGGGAATAAACATTGTGGAAGAGAGAAAAGGTATATGATATTCAACATATCACCCATTCATTTCATATTATAACATATCCATCTAAACATTCATCCATTGTTTCATAACACTAACCCCTATGAAGCAATGAACTCTAAAGATGAAAGTGCAGGCAGCTGTTAGTAAAATGAGCAATGAAGAGGACAATTAGCACCAATTTGAATAGAAAGAAAAATATGAGATGAAAATAAGACAGTTGAAATGAGAGGGAAAGAAGCCGAAGCAAAAAGAGCGAACGATGCAACAATAATCGGCTGGACGGTTGGTTCGTTTACTTTATTAACCAAATATCTATCTTATATGTGCAAACATCCATCTAATCGTTGACTTGTTCAAATCATTATTCGATAATCACGAATAGTCATCAATCATCAGTCGGATAGATGGATGGTAAAATAGAAAGAAATGAATTAATCAAACGGAAGTAAAAGAGCATAAAGAAGGAGTGATAATGTTGTGAGAAACAAGAACGAACGAACGAACGACAAAAACAAATAGACATTAGCAAATGAAGAAAAACAAAGAGAAAATGAACGAAAGACTGACGAGATGGCTAAATCATCACAAGTAGGACACGGTCATTAGAGCATATTTTAAAAGTTCAATTCAAGTAACTGTTAACTATTTGTTTTCGAAACGATGCGTTCACCATAACACTCACAACTATTCACAGAAAACCTGCAATCGAAGAATAAAAGCTACTGTGTGAAGATTTAAGTTTCATACAGCGACCTATTTGTTTTGATTGTATTCAACAATAAGCAACTCATCTTGATGCACCATGTTCACAATTAATGCTGCATACGCACGATCATTTAACGCACATATGTGAACGTTGATCTGTTTGTAAAATAAATCGAGACTGAAAGCAGTCAATTGATATCCAATCGAATAGTCTCACTGTTGATTACTCGAGCTTACATTATCACTATCGGAATGCCATTCAATAAATTCTAAAAGAATCTGACCAAAGCTTATGAAGAACGTACGTATTTATCAATAGCACTCTGATAAATACGTTTTAAAATGATCACGTTTCTCAGTCCATTTCGATGTTCCAAAAAAAAAGCTATCTCTTCGCTCATCGACTACTCCAATTCTATCATCCACTTTCACAAAACGCTAACCATTCATCACAAACACAAAAAGCATTACTCGTAATCCTCCATAACTATGCAATCGATATATAT